TATTTAATTTAATATTATTTATAATATTAGGATGTAAGTATTTTAATATTTAATTTAATATATTTTATAATATTAGGTTGTAAGTATTTTAATATTTAATTTAATTTTATATTTATAATATTAGTTTGTAAGTATTTTAATATTTAATTTAATATTATTTATAATATTAGGATGTAAGTAATTTAATATTTAATTTAATATTATTTATAATATTAGGTTGTAAGTATTTTAATATTTAATTTTAGTTTATATTTATAATATTAGGATGTAAGTATTTTAATATTTAATTTAATTTTATATTTATAATATTAGTTTGTAAGTATTTTAATATTTAATTTAATATTATTTATAATATTAGGATGTAAGTATTTTAATATTTAATTTAATTTTATATTTATAATATTAGACACCATTATACACTGCTTGCCAAAATGGTTATTTAGAAATTGTTAAATTATTATTATCATGTAAAACAATTGATGTTAATTTGGGTGTAAGTATTTTAATATTTAATTTATATTTATATTTATAATATTAGCGTGTAAGTATTTTAATATTTAATTTAATTTTATTTATAATATTAGAAAGTAAGTATTTTAATATTTAATTTAATTTTTATATTTATAATATTAGTTTGTAAGTATTTAATATTTAATTTAATTTTTATTTTTATATATTAGCCACCATTATACACTGCTTGCCAAAATGGGCATTTAGAAATTGTTAAACAATTACTTCAACATCCAAATATTAACATAAATTACACATGGTCAGTGAATGGAATTAATATTCAAACAATTAAAAGTGACATGGAAAAAGAACAACAACTATTAAAAGAACAATCGGAACAATTAAAATTTAACCAACTAGAAATGGAAAGATTAGAAAGAGAAAGAATTAAAAAATTAGAAATGGAAAGAATTGAAAAGGAAAGAATTGAAAAAGAATGTTTACTAAAAATAGAAAGAGAAAGAAAAGAATTAGAGAAAAAACAATCATTCATAATCACATCTGAAACATTTTCAAAATTATGTTCACTCAACCAACAAGTTGATAATAATAGAAGAAAAGTTGAAAAACAATTTGAATCGATTCAATCATTTTCTTCTTCTATTCAAATTAAGAAAGAATTTCAAGATGAATATTTAACAATTTGTAATAATTTAAATAATTGTTGTAATTTAATTGAAAGATTAACAAGTAATAATTATAATATTGAAAATAATGAACATTTATTAACTATTAATAATTTAATGAATAATATTAGAACTATATTGGAATTTATTAATAATCAAAAATATTTATTAAATACAATC